AATTTAGTGATTTTACTAAAGGTGTTACTCTAGTCAAATGTGAATATTCGTTTGTTATGAATCTCACTGCTCTATTTTGTGCCTGTTCCAGTTTCTTAATGTTTTCTTGAGTTCAGGGGTCCCAAACAGAGGATGCATATTCTATTATTGGCCTAACCAAGGTCTTGTAGCATTTAATCATCTTCAGAGTTGGGAGTTAAGTAAAAAGGGATTGAATTTCTCAGTACAGTATTACAGTATTTAAAAATGATAGTGATAATAAAATAAACAAAAACCTACTTTAAACTGATTCATGAACATGCTTGATTATTTTTTGTTTTATTGCATTTTACATTTATTACAGGATGTTTTCCCATCTTTAGACTTTGATGCAGATGATTTCAATTTAGACATCACATTTCAATGTCCATTGGGCCAAATATTTAGGAATGGATTCTGTGGTGAGTTATTAAAGATTTCTATTTGGAGTCAACAAAATGACAACTTAATAGTCTAAATTGAAATAACAATCAAAATAATCATCAAATACACTATTGTTATTTTGTTACTAGTATCCTGTGGTCCTGGTACGTATTACAATACAGCTTCTACCACATGTGAAAACTGCCCTGTGGGTCTGTATGCTGAAACATATGGACAGCTCAGTTGTTCACCTTGTCCATCAGGGAAAACTACTAGAGGCAAGGGAAGTGACTCTGCAATGTATTGCACAAGTAGGTGTTTTTTAGGTACCATGCTTATGAAATGCTACTGAAGCAGGTGATATTTTGTCTAGTGGCTAGAATTCAGAAATAAAAATGTTAGATAAATGTTAACTTAGAAAGTACTACAAATGAAGGAATTAAATGCACAATTGAATTTCATTGTTACAAATTCTAGCATATTGCAGAAACAGTGCTTCATTATGAATTCTTTTTCATTTACTGTGCAGCCAACTGCAGTTCAGGCAATGAATTTTTAATGTCAACCAAAAGTTGTGCCCCTTGTCCTCGTGGGTACTTTAGAGATTCATCTAACTCAAGTCAGGAGAACTGCCTTATGTGCCCTGCAGATTTTATAACCCCTAGTGAGACCAGTGTATCGTCAGCTCAGTGTTATATCAGTAAGTTTTCTTCTGTGCATTGCATTGATTTTTTTTTTAGTTTAGTTAAGTGTGTAAAGTGTGTAGAAAAATATATAAAAACAACCTAGCTTGCATGAATAACAACAATAAATGTTTATCAGGGATCCCTACCTTATTTTTGGAGCATATACCCCTCACAAATAGCAAAATAAGTATTATGATGTGAGATCCTTTTGCTGTATGATGATGACTTAACAGCAAGACAAGTCTTAATCTTGTAGCAGTTTCAATATATTATTATACAAATACATTTTACAATTCATCTCCAGCTCTATTCCCTCTGCAACTCTCATTGGCCTCCTTCAGTCGTGAAATGACTATGGTTCATCTCAAAATCTGCAACTCTAACTTTCCAATTAACAATAACAAAATCAGGCCTTCAATACCTTTTTGGTTCACCCGTACTTTTTCCAATGTACCTGGTATAATGAACAACACACATCAATCCTAGACCATGCAGACACTTTTATTTCTCGTGTCTCACCCGTGTCGTACTACAATGGCAACAAACAGCTCATTTAGACCTTAACTCGCTTTCTTATATTTCTATTCCCACAATAATTAAAATCACAATCGTACAACCCGCACCCTTGTATGTGCAAAGCTTGACTTGTAGTAAACTTGTCTCAATTGATAACTGGCATATTAAAGATTCTCTGCCTCATTGGTACTATTTGTTTTCTTGAGGTTTATAAAGATGTTGATAAAGCTTTCCTATGTACATTTCATAACCACACAGCGAACTATAGGAGGTGTAAAAGACCCACTGGTATATCCATAGTTTACGTTATGCTATGTTTATATATAATAGAAATTTTGTTAACCCAGCACCTTTGTATATTCTGCAAAGCTGCTATTTATTTGTAAAAACCTGTAAAACCTGTGGGCTATATGCACCAAAATACGATAGAATGGGTAGGTTATTTGGACCTTGGTGATTTCAATTTAGATGTTGAAGCTAATTGAAGATATTGTAATGAAATTTAAGATGAAAGCTGAATATTATTATTACAATAGTATAATAGGAAGAACATCTTAATTAACCCTTATCAATTGAGTCTAAACCTCTAAGCAAATGATAATATTTGCCTATATTCTGCACATAACCTTGATGAATGTATGAGACTAAAGTTTTGTTAATTTGTAATTGTTAAAATATTGCTTAGGGTAATGGGTTTCTTATAGATAAGAGCTTGAGATAAATTATTGAGAGCAAGAAAAGAAATGAATGAAACATTTATTTTTGTCTTTAGGAAACTGCACAATTCTTGGTACCTACAGGAATGCACAGTCTAACCAATGTGAAAACTGCCCTATTGGGACTTACAGTGATACAAAATGGCAAGAAGCTTGCAGGTCTTGTCCTTCGGGACAGACCACAGAATCAGTTGGAACCAGTTCAGTCAATTTGTGTTACAGTGAGTTACTAGATTTACTTTTTGCTATTTTAGTGTCATTGCATAGTATCTTATACTTTTTCAGTGCATTTAGTCTAGTTATCAACTATATCTTTTTGTAGCCAGTTGTTCAGCTGGTCAGTATTTCAATATCAGCCAAAGAGTTTGTTTACCATGTGATAGTGGGCAGTATCAAGACATGCAGGGACAATTTAAGTGCTTACCATGTCCATTTGGTCAGCAATCAGTGGAGTCTAAGACATCTTGTTCAGGTAGAAGACTTTCTTGTTTTCTTTTTCTTTATTTAGATCTATTGCAGACATAAATACAAAAGCTATGTAATTAAATATAGTTTTCATATTGCATAAATCACAAAATTAACTTGACAATCAATATCTAGACTCTAATATCTAGTCTACATGAATGTTATTTAACATAATCTACCTTTCTCTGTTTTCTTTTGAAAGCACATTGCATTATTAGATTAGGAACAAATGTATAGTTTTACATGTAGCAAACACCTTGAATGCTTACTGTAAATCAATGTTTACAATTATTGTGACATAGCCAAAGTCATTTCTTTACATTTGATCAGACTCTTCAAATAAGATATTTTAATACCTGCTTTGCACAAAATGTGAACGCTTTCTAATAAAAGCCTAATTCTAATTGTGTACTCTAGTGGTAGCCTCTACTCCAACCTCAAGATCATCAAGTGAGATTAATGTGATTGTTGGATGTGTGGTTGGTATTGTTAGCTTCCTGTTGCTGCTTATACCACTTGCTATCATCCTGTGGAGGAGGTTAGTGACATTATTTTTATATAGTGTCTTTGGTACTGTAGGAAAACATCTATCATTAAATAAACATTTAAAAATATTAATTTCTTCTAAAGATTGATAAAAAAGATGTACATGAAATTGAAATATAATCAAGAAGATATTTGTTCTTCTGTTGGGACATTTAGCTGAGTGAAATAAATCAGTTCTAATTTAAATTATGTGTCAAGTTTTATATTCCAATTGTAACAAAGATTCTCTTCCGAGTTGTGTTTCTAGAGTTCCTAATGGCAGCATGAAATCACATGAGATACTAATCCTCCAAGAATTTTCTCCAATTGGATTGCACTGTGCGTGCATGGATATATCCTAGTAAAAAAAATCTATGATAATAATAATAATGTCTACAATATTTTTTACATTCTGTCATTATTCTCCTGCTTACTCATAAAGCTAAACAAATGTCTAGGATAAAGCCTAACTCCCAAATGGAAAGATCATTATGTTAAATTTTTTTTATTAATCATAACATAGGTTTTCTTTTTTTAAATGTTATGTTTAGTCCTTAATAAATTAACTGTTAAGGCTGCTAAATATATTTACTCCTATTCCTGTGCTGACATCGACATAAGGCTTACCATATCCCTGCAAACAGCTAAAGATATATCTTTATTCAAATTATTCCTTTTTTTAAAAAAAATAAAATTAAAGCTGTTCATGCCAACATAATAGATATAAATATTTATATGGATGGTGTTGAAGAACTTCATGCATTCTTTTTTTTTATTTCACTTATACAGGCTAAGACCAACAACAGCGAAACCCAGCCCAACAGAAAGTGTTGATTCCATAAGCCACGGTGGTACTTCCATGAGTACCAACTATTCCAGACTCATTACCAGAGCTAACTTGAAACCCACACCAGACGACTTCAATTCAAATTTTGATCCTGCATTTTATCATTCCAAACCAGCAGCTGAGGCAGGACTAGAGTCGCAATCAACACAGTCCTATCTGACATGGAGAAATAGTTATAGTAGCCACAAATTGTAAGGAAGGGGGAGTGATATGTGTGAGTAACTAGTGTAAATGTGATTTATACAAATATTCAGAGTAGTATCCTGTTCAGTGTTCATAAGTAATAAATAGATTTAATAGTACAACACACTTATTATTCTATTGATGGTGCAATTAGTTTTGTATATTTATAGGTTGTTTTTTTGTTATTTTACTTGACATAAATATCTGCAAAGAAGCATGGAGAATTAAAGTATGTTCTTTAAGCAAGTAAGATTGTCTGTTGGTAGTTTCAAAGCTAGTAAAAAAGTTTGTTTGTGGTTAGTTTATGTATCACATATATCTAGGGCTGGGATATTTAGACTTGAAACAGTCAAAGCTACCTCATTTCATTTTCTTTCTAAAGCACATTGTCTCCCTAGGTTAAATAGGAGATCAGGCTAGCAGAGTGTATAGATATATATAATGTAAACAGTAACTCTGCTAGCCTGATATATATATATATAATGTAAACAGTAACTCTGCTAGCCTGATATATATATATATAATGTAAACAGTAACTCTGCTAGCCTGATATATATATATAATGTAAACAGTAACTCTGCTAGCCTGATATACATATATATAATGTAAACAGTAACTCTGCTAGCCTGATATACATATATATAATGTAAACAGTAACTCTGCTAGCCTGATATACATATATATAATGTAAACAGTAACTCTGCTAGCCTGATATATATATATATAATGTAAACAGTAACTCTGCTAGCCTGATATATATATATATATATACATATGCTGTTTTTAGGGTAACAAATTTTTTTGAGGCTTCTGTTTCAGGCTTATTGGCTAGTGTCCCTGGCAGACAATAATCCTTTTTATACTGCATTCATGTTCTAGTTTGTTTTTTTTTGTTTTTTTAATATCTTATAGCTTTTGTTAATGATATCTTCCATATTTAAAACAGACTGTTAGCTAAAGCTATCAAATAGTGCCATGCTAATATTATTAAAATGATGTCATTAACCAAAAATGTTTAGTTGCTAGTCAAGAGGTCAATGGTTACCAATAGGTTCGGGGAAAAAATTTTCCATTTTCTTCAAATCCAACATTTATAGTTATTTTTAGTTATTAAAAGCAAAATAATCATTCTATAATTTGTAATTAATAAAGGGGGTACTGTCTTTTTGAAAAAAAAATAAATTTTGTTCTACTTTTCTTGTATCAATTTTAATATCTTCCATTGATTTTCTAAATTTTTCAAATTTAAATATATTCTTTTGGGTATCTAATTGACTAACTCTTAAAGGACATTGCCAAACATTTTCTAACTTTAACAACCTTTCTGATCTTGTTATGGTGGTAGAAACATATGCAACTAGGATGGTGAGTCCCGGTGGCTGAGAGGTAAAGCAGTTGGCTTCTGAACAGAGAGGTCTTGTGTTTGATTCGTGGAATTTTTAGATTGCAAAGGAAATGTTACTTAACTTTTGATGGATGATCGCAACAGCTCTGTATTATTATTTTATGCATTACTTTGTGCCTTGGCTTTAACATGTATCAGACTTTTGTACTTATTATAAACCTACTTAGGTGCATCTGTTTGTATGCTGACCGAAAATGTTACCACAGAGCACATTTTTATTTAAATATTTCATTATTATTCCAAACATAACATTTCCATAGAAAGTTGTATCTGTAGTAATTAGCTCTAGCTAATATTAGTTTCACTATTAGGTATACATATTTTTTTTTTGTGCTGTACAACTTCAAATGTGGGTTTGGTATTTTAACAAATATGGTTATGGAGAATCCTTTAAATGCGATCATTGTTTTGGTTGTAAGTTTTGAACAGTTTAATTGTGAAATGGACACTGGTGCAATAGCAGACTTTGTAACAGGTATTGCTGGTATGGTAAGTGTCCCTGTGTAGGAGTCTTTGGGTTTTCTGTGTTTTTCTTGTAGTTGTAAAAATGTCTTTGAAATGACATTAAACACAAGTTATTTCTGATTTGTCTTTCAGTTCAATTATTTTTTTTTGTATTTCTTAGAATCTATGCTGTGTATGCTGCTATTAAACTTTATGTTGCACATGAACAAGAATGAAAAAAGAATTAATGCTCTAATATTGTCTTTTTTTCCTTTTGTTTGTTGTATTTATTAAAATATTGTATGAATTTCAAAATACTTTAACATTTAAACAACATTCTAAAAAATATTTTTTTAGGACATAAAAGAAAGAAATTCTAATTATTTATAGAGAAATTTTATTGTCTTGTATAATTAACAAAATAAATTAGTTAAAATAAAATAATTTAGCTGCCCATAGGAATTCAACACTATTCTGTAACCACTTAAAGTATGAAAAATCAACATTTTTAAACTTAAATATATATATATATTTTACAGATTTCAAACATTTAAAAAAAAATATTAGCAACCAACCTGAATGATCAGGATAACATTTTATGAAGCTTTTAAAACAATCCTTGAAAAATGTGAGGTGATATAGAGGTCAGAACCATCAATAATAACTCACACAAACATATATTTAAACTATACAAATTATATACATCAATTTTATCTTTGTTTTTTTTTTTACAGTTAGGCCAAATATATATATGTACTGCAATTGGAAGAAGAACAAATTAAGCATTTGATATATCTACAAATAGATTCCAAGTAAACAGGGCTTGAAAGAAATGACAGCAATAATCACCAACTTTGTGAGGATCACCATGTTAATGACCGTTCGACTTTCTTGCTATATTCACTTGTTCAGTCTTGAAGCCTTGGACATGTGCTCAACCTTTTATTTTGTAATAAGTATTCGTTGTTTTGTGTGTGTCTGTGGTTGAATGTAGTACTTTTTAAGCAAAACACAAACTTGGCAGAGTATTTAAGTAAAAAGAATCAGCACTGCTGAGATCATCCTCTGCTTGTGGACTTGAAGCATCAGACACTTGATAAGATGACAGACTGGGATCTGGTGAACTTGTAATTGTTGACCTCTGTGGGAGTCTGTCAGAGGGGCTAGCCAGGTTAGGTGTAGGTGAATGTGATGGCTTAGGCTGTGATGAATTCATTGCAGCAGCTGGTGTGTAACTATCAGATGCAGGTGTAAAAGATGTTGCTATTAGATAATACTCCAGCTCTCGTTTCTTAGCGTCCAAGCGTTCTTTGTTGTTGATTGAGGCGGTTGGAAGGTGGTTCAAAGTTTGTGGCTGAGTGGGTGCTAGCTGTGTGAGGGCTGGCTGAGTGAATTGTGGCTGTGTGAGGGCTGGCTGAGTGAATTGTGGTAGAGTGGGTGCTGGTTGGCTGTATTGTGGCTGTGTGAGGGATGGTTGGCTGTATTGTGGCTGTGTGAGGGATGGTTGGCTGTTTTGTGGCTGTGTGAGGGATGGTTGGCTGTATTGTGGCTGTGTGAGGGATGGTTGGCTGTATTGTGACTGTGTGAGAGATGGCTGGGTGTATTGTGGTAGAGTGGGTGCTGTCTGGCTGTATTGTGGCTGTGTGAGGAATGGCTGAGTTGGTGCAAGCTGGGCGTATTGTTGTTGTGCTTGGTGTCTGTAACTGTTCTGTGTAGGAGCAGATTGGCTGTATGCTGTCTGTAACGGCTGAGTACAAGACGATGTTAACAGTTGCTGTATTGGTGGAGATTGCCTTAAAGCTTGCTGGCCTCTTGCTTTCCGTGTTAGTACTTGTATTAGTTCTTGCTTTGAGGGTGTAATGTATGCTTGGTGTGCCATTGATTGACTTCGTTGTGGTGGTGACAGTCTGAGTGCTTCCTGTGCTAATGTGTTCTGTATTTTGGATGGATTTGTTGATGCTTGTTGTAAATAATCGGACTGTGTCGGTGTGTTTGATTGCTGTTGTATTGCTGTCATTATTGCTGTCTGGGGCATTAGTGATGTCTGGGTTAATTCTTTCTGCTTTGCATAAGCTAGCTGTGTTTTCAATGTTTGGCTTTTCGATTTCCGACTAAAATTTTGGTGTAGTTCTATATATGCTTGCTGTGTAGGTTGATTTGTACTTGCTGGCTGTGTGTATACAATTTGTGGCTGTACATTTATATTTTGATGAGATGGGTTGATGTAGTTAGATTCTGTTTTGTAAATTGTCTGTTCTGGAATCCTTTTAGAAATTGAGGAGGGATTGGCCTGGTGAAAAAACCTAGATATTGCTTCATCACTGTCAGTTAAAAAGTCTATGCCTCGTGTTGAGTAGGTTGGGATACTCCCCTTTGAGCCAGTGGTGATGTTTGGATATACTACATTAGCTTTGGGAATACAGCTGGACGCCATGGGAATACCTGTTGATACACTTTGTTCATTTTTTGTTTGGGTCTGCACTGGATTGCCCTGTCGTTGTTGTCTAGCTACAAATAAATCTATGTTTGTATGAGCCGTTACTGGCACTGTAACTTGGGAAGATGTTATTGGAATGGGATATTCCTGAGAGGACTGGGAAGAGTTATTTGATTCAAACTGGTTGGAGGATTCTATAATGTCATTCAGGATTAGAGAGAACGAATCTAGATTAGCAGTCCCGTTTGTTAGCTTAGCTGTCTGCATTACGTCATCTGGAGCATTGCTAGCCGTTGGATGGTTATTCCCGCCAAAAGAAACGCTCGTCTGCTCTTGTGGATTATTGTTTGCATTTTGAAAGGAATTAGTTTCAATATTTCCGGATTGATTGTTCACATGGAGAGCAGTTTCCCAGGTGTTGGCATTGCTTGTAGACGTAAGTACATTTAGTTCTGGTGGATTCGTTTTATAACTGGGATAAAGAGATTTCTCCTCGAAGCAATCTCTCAGATAAATAGACACAAAGTTATTTACAGAGCCGTTAGAGTCAGAGCTTGTTTTGTTCTCCAACTGTTGCGTTCTGCGCTTTTTACACTCCACTTCACCGAAAGTACCCAATACTTTGTAAGGCGTAGATTGTTTGGCATTACTTCCCGTCTTCCTGACTAGCTTTCTTTTCTTCTTTGGTTTGACGACACTTGTTTCTGTCAATGGCGAGCCACTAAATAAGGCAAATGCATCGGCCATACTGATGCAGTCCTTACTTTCTCTATGAAACAGAAAAGTATACATTAGTTAAACCTATAATTTGTCCTTATCTTTCCTTATAAAATACAGACGTTACTTAAAAAAAAAAGATGAGGTCCTACGCGTGTTCCTAGGCCAATCTAGTCATGCATGTTAATCAACGACTTAAATTCTGCCAAGTCATTGGTTTGTTTTCCTGGCTGGCTCAGGCAACACATTCCATGCTCTAATAGCAATACTATTAACAAGCTCTACCTTATAAATTACAGGCGTTCCTTCATAGAAGACGATAATTACTTCCTATGATAATTCAGTCAAAAGACCTAACCTCTAATTGCAAATACGAGTATTAAAAAGATTATGGTCTGTGCTACAATTGAAACTACTTAAGTGATATAATCAATGAAAAACTATCATAGACTATCCCTAATTAACCCAAATTGATGAACAATAAATATTAAAGAAAAAAATATATTTAAAATTTCTTTTTAACCCTAGAACACAGCTTAAATGTGTATCTGTCGTCTCAAGAAAGCATTTTTAAAATATGAAGACAAATTCAGAAGGTACATCACACAAGTAGTCACATGCAACATAAGCACATCAATGATATAATCACAACATTTAATGGTTAACACGCAAAATATAGAAAATAGCCTACTTAAAAACAAACAAACAAACAACTAAGCTTACACAATGGAAAGAACTGCTCATTTACAGTCATATTTCTAAATACTTTAAGATTTAAAGAAAAAATAATCTTATGTTATCTTATATGATACAGACGTTACTTCAAAAAAGAAGATGATTACGTCCTACGCGTCATGCATTTAGTCATGTATATTAACCAATGACCTAAACTCCGCCAAGTCATGCATTTAGTTACTTATTAATTGGTTTAATTTTTTTTTTATTGATTCGTGTGTAGTTTGGGAAAGTGACTAGTTTAATTTGCAAAGTTTCAACTTGATCCGAAAAATCAAAACACATTTCTTGTTTTATTTGCTAGGACATAAAGATGTAAGAACCGATTATCTCCCGGTGCCTATCAGCGCGGTGTCTTGTTCTCCGCGAAGACCAAGCATTTAACTGTCAACATTTGTAACATTAAAAGCTAAGGCTAACTAGAGTCTAAGTCAGTTTAACAAAATTCGTTTTAAAGAAACGTATTTTTATTACAAGATTAAAAACACAACAACAAATGAATGATATCACCATAAGTTAATTTAGATATTGCCGAATCTTCTTTTTTTATTATTATTATATCAGTATTATTTAGTTTAGGCCTATATCGTAGCGAGACTTATTTAAACCTACACACAGGCCCAAAGTATGACGTATGAATCAAGTATATCAATATATCCAAAATTAAATTACTCCAGCCATTTTCTCAGAATAGAGCACTAGATTGTGAGATAATCTTTAGCAGATAACTATCCTCTATCCTCACGAGTTCTCATAAATATTAGGCTCATTAATAGTAGGCCTATATAAGTCACATGACCTTGATAATGGTATGATATAATATCACTTCTATCTGTATGGTCTAGATCTATGTTAAATGTTTACTGTTACGGGCTACTTCCTAGATCTATTTTTTTTTCTTTTTCTTTGGCTTCTACCTCATGGCTTCATTTTATACTATCTACCGAAGACTAGACCAATCTGGACCTAAATAACTATAATATAGATGTCTCTAGTATGTGTTAGCAGGTTTCTAACTTTTATGAAATCAAAGGGATGATGTATTTTCCAATCTGTTATTATTAATCAGTAATTATGTAGCGAATAGACATAGATCTCGAATAGTTTAAAATGCCTAAGATTAATAACCTCTCAAATCTCTTGTTTAAATTAATGACTACGGTAAAAACATTTAGATCTAGATCTATTAGAAAGTAATTAAAAGACTCAACATCTAAACAGATTAAAAGAAAACCAACAGGGCCCACTACAGTAATCACACTTTTAAAACAAACATGATTTAGATGTCCAAATAATTTACCTTCGCTATTGCTATAGCTATAGTTGCTAGATCTATATGTTCAATGCACTGGAATAGGACGTG